CTCACCCATTGCCATCCATTTCCATCCAATCAACTACAGCCAGAGTATTCTGGGACCAAAATTGACTTGTGACATCATTGACCAAACATAGCCACATGGTCAAGGATTTCACCAGCATCCCTATCCTCTTCAATACGTACAGCTGTAGGTCAGTGAATGCCCTGGCAGCAGTGGAAGGGAGAGACAGCTTCCTCCCGGGGTCGGGTTTGAACCCACGTTTGGACCAAACTCGTGCTTATTTCTAGTCTTACTGGACTTGTCTTTGTGTATAGGGGATGGAAAAGGACCTTCCCAAAACTTTTGTTACAAGGTTAAAAGTGTACAATTGTCTAAAATGTCTTTGTAGACTGTAGCATTAACATTACCCTTCACTGGAAATACCTGAACTAAATAACTGTTATTTGAATTATTATATGCAACTTCTGATATAATATACTTACTGTGAAAAATGAAAAGTAAAACAATATATTTAGAATTTGTTTTCACAATGATTCAATTTGTAATCTTTTTATACTGCACAAATGATTCAAACACAGTTCCATTTTAGCCGTAGTAATAACCCCTCACTAACTCTACTAAAAAATGTCTTTATTCCGATTCCATTCCTGTTGAATAGATTTCTGTCATTTCCTGTCTCAGTGACAACATTGCCACTGGGAAAGGAATTAAGGGGAGTTCTCTGCAACATGGACACAGATAGAAATGTAAACATGACAGTCCATATTTGCTGACCTAAAATGTATTGCAGTATTTTCTTAGTTTTATCTTTTTAAATTTTGGATAGAATAAAAAAGGTTACAACCTCTGTTTTCTGGGAAAATGATTTTACAAGACAGGCAGTGAGGGAAAATTTGCAAAGGGTAAAGGGGCAACACAAAAATGTTGATAGAGTTTCTAGCCTTCCTATTGATAGGAATTTTAAACCTTAATAAATCTAATAGACTTCAGTTTATCAATTCTTAGATCTGGTGGCTGCATTCATTTTCTTTTTTTAAAGGCAAAGTTCACTTTTACTAGAAAATAGCCGATGCAGTTAAAGGGCCCTGTAAAAAATGTAAATAACACTGCACAGTTTTGTAAAATGTTTCAAATTATTTTTTGTTATACCTTTAGGCCATTTGGGTCCCCCCAGGAGCTTAGCTTAAAAACTCCTAGTTAGCAACCCCCACCTCCTCTCTTGTTGCTAGATCCTGAAAACTATTGTATGCATGCAACCAGAATTGCAGGAGTGAAAAATAGTGGTTTTCATGACCAAACAACAAGCCAGGATGTAGGTGTTGCTAACTGGGAGTTTTAAAGCCAGGCTTCTGAGAGGACCCAATGGCCTACAGTCATGACAATAATAATATTGAAAATTTTACAAAGCTGCACAGGTTATTAATATCTACTGGGGACCCCTGACTGAATAAGCTATTTTCTGAAAAAGATGAACTTAGCCTTTATGGCATTTTTCCTTTATTTTCACCCGGGCAGCTGACAGTAAGTTTGTTATTTTTCTGTTGCAATGCTTTTATTGTAGTTCGACAAGAACAAGATTGCAACATAAATTGCCCACATAGGGGCCAGGTATTGAATATGTATTATAAGAACTGGTGAAAACCATATACATGATACCCGTAAGTCTGTTATTTTTCAACTACCTTTAATAGACCAAGCTTTCCAGTCAAAGTGGATGTTAGAGGGTTGAGACAAACAATTTAACACTGAGAGGGGTGCTTACAATGGTCAGCTTTTATTTTATTTATGTAAAAGGAAAAAAAGGTTGATGTGACTGCTTAAAAGTGTTAGCTGGAGTTCAGTTTTAATGTATTAATCAAATCCATCTAAATTTCCTAGTGCATTTAATGTTGCCCTACACAGATTGACAATACTTCTATCCAAATGAGTCTATATTGCTCCTCCATCCAGAAAGGAGACATCCTAAGACAGGACGTGTTTCTGGCAGGATCACCAGGTAAGAAAAGTAATGTAGCAACTGCATTTAAGGACTGGCAAACTGCAATAAAATAATTTTGTTTTTGGATTTAATACCACTTAAAAAGAAAAAAATCTGCTGTTAAAAAGACTTCCTCTCCCTTCCTGTTTTTTGGTGAAAACCTTTTTAACATACAGGAAGTGAAGAAATCTCTCCAATATATTCTCCAATGGCAGCAAAACCTGTTCTAGCTGTTCACCACTGTCAGGGCTGGTCTCTTGCTACTTAACAAGCAGCTCTCCCCTTTCACTGCTCAGAAGCTGCTCAGCTGTTGGTTAATTACCAGCCACTTTTTGTCTCCACAGTGACTCACCTGGATACCATTTCCTACCTCATTAGTCCAGCCTATAGCCAGCCCTTTTACTATTTTAGCTTAGCTCATTTCTTCCTTGCCCTTGCATGGTCTATGATCTCCTGTGTGTTCTTGCCTATGTTCCTGTGTACAACTGGCTGACTTCCCGTTCAATTCCTGCTCCTGATTTTTGGCTCCTGACTATGCTGACTTTTGGTTTCCTGACCCTGGCTCCTCTGATTACTCACTCTGGCATCCAAACCCTGGCTTCTGTTTTGACTAAGTTCCTGAACTGTGTTATTTTTTTCTATTTCATTAAAGGTGTGATTTTAAACTGCTCTTTCTGTCTCTGCCTGGTTTATGGTCCCTGACATTTACACTTTGACATTTGACATTAGGGCCATGAATTCAGAAGATGCAGGCAATCCACCTAGTCATAACATTTTTTCCAGATTGGACAAGCAGGACCACCGCTTCGATCAGTTTGCCATATCATTACAAATGCTCCTAATCTGGACTGCTCATCTGGATCCTCCTACCCCAGCTGCTCTGGTACAATCAGTGTTGCAAGCCATCCCTGCTGCTGCTCCTATCTCGGTTCAGGCAGCTGCCTCTCATACTACCACTGTAAAAGGTATGACTGGTTCTGCTTCACTTCCTCAGTGGTTTGGAGGGGATTCAGCTCACTGCAGAGAGTTTCTCAACCAGGTTGGAATATATTTTGAGATGCTGCCCCAGGGGTTCTCTACGGCCAGAAGCAAAGTAGACTTCAATATGTCTTTGCATTCTGACAAAGCCTTGGCTTGGGCAAACCCTCTATGGGAGACACAAAAACCCATTGTCCAGAATTACCCTGAGTTTGTGGCCTCCTTTAAAAGGGTATTTGATATTCCCGTTCACTCCACCTCTGCTGCCAAGAGCCTCATGGTCACTAAACAGAGTACAAGAACTGTTGGCAACTACGCTATTGAATTCCATACTCTGGCAGCAGAGGTTGGTTGGAACAATAAGGCTCTCGTGGCTGCTTTTTTTTTCCCATGGCTTCTCTGATAACATTAAAGATGAGATTACAGCCTGAGATATAACTAAGAATCTTGAGGAATTGATCTCGTTTTCCATTCTCATTGATACCAGACTCCCAGAGAGAACTTCCTTTAAAGAGTGTTGCAGAAGCCTCCTGTACATTTGGCTCAGAGCTTTGCATTCCCACCCATGCCTCCCTCACCTCTTATGCCTCCTCGGCCCGAGTCCTCCAGTTAAGTAGAGCCCATGCAGCTGGGCTTCACACATCTCTCTGCCGAAGAGAGGGCCCTTAGGAAAAGGGAGAGATTGAGCCTTTGCTGTGGCCAAGCAAATCACTTTTTGAAATCTTGTGCAACCTGTCCAGGAAACGCCTTCATCTGAGGTCCTGTAGGGGACAGACCTTAGGTGGTGTCTTTGCATCTCAAGCTTTCCTTAAAGATAAGCCTTCTAGTTCCAATTACCCTTTCCTGGTCTGAATTTTCCATCGACACTAATCAATTCTGGGGCTGCAGGCTTGTTCATAGATAGTGCCTTCGAGTTGAAGCACTCAATACCACTGCATCCTCTTTCCTCTCCACTTGCCATGAGGCTATTGGTGGGAGACCTCTATAGCCTGTCTATGTGACCCATGAAACCACTCCCTTGACCATAGCTGTAGGGGCTCTTCACCATGAGATACCAAGTAATTTCCTCACCTCATTACCCAGTTGTCATTGGTTATCCTTGGTTACAGAAGCATGATCCTTCATTTGATTGGCATAGAGCCGAGGTTCTGTCATGGTCACCACAATGCACTAATGCTTGTTTTCAGAACGTGAGTAGGGTCTTCAGTCTCTTTTTGCCAGAGAACTATCGGGAATTCTCTGATGTCTTTGACAAAGTTCAGGCCAGTATTTTGCCACCACATCAGCCTTATTACTGCAGAGTTGATCATCAACTTGGTGCCATTCCTCCTTGTGGCCGGGTTTACCCACTGTCTGTCTTGGAGGATAAGGCTATGGAGGAGTATGTTGCGGATTCACTATCTCTGGGGTTCATCTGCAAATCCACTTCTCCTGCCGGTGCTGTTTTTTTTTTTTGTGAAGAAGAAGAGTGGTGAACTGAGACCCTGTATTGATTATAGAGGTCTTAATCACATTACTATTAAAATGCCTATTCAATCCCACTGATAATGGAATTATTTGTCCGCCTCAAGGGACCAATGGTCTTCACTAAGCTCGATTTGAGAGGGGCATACAATCTCGTAAGGATAAAATGGGGCCACGAATGTTAAAGTGCATTTAATACTAGTAGAGGAGAGTATGAATACCTCCTAATGTCCTTTGATCTCTGCAATGCTCCTGCAGGTTTCCAGGAATTTATTAACAATGTCCTCCAAGATATCCTGCAGCAATGTGTGGTGGTTTAGTTCAATAGTGATCTCATATATTCAACATTCCTAGAGCCAGCATACAGACTACTCTCATGTACTACAGAGGCTGAGGGAGAACAACCTGTTTTGCAAGTTGGAAAAGTGCGAATTTCAATGTGAACAGGTAAAATGTTTATCCTTGTGGCTTCTTTTCTAAAAAATTGTCTCCAGCAGAATGCAATTATATAATTGGGGACAGAGAATTATTAGCCTTCATTTTAGCTCTTAAAAAATGGAGGCATCTCCTCAAGTGTACTACTGTGCCTGTCTTCATTTTGACTGACCAAGAGAATCTCACATTCTTGTCTAAGGCTAAACGCTTATCTCTTAGAAGGGCTCTGTGGGCCTTTTTTCCATCAAGCTTCAATTACATAATCTCATTCTTACCCGGTACAAAGAATATAAGGTGTTATGATCCACCAGGTGGTGCCTCAGGCTGCCAACTGACGGACCTACCCAGAGCGTGGGGTCTAAGCCCGGGCTGTGCTTTCACCAGGGCCCCTGATGGTGGGGATGGACTTGTAACAGTCCCGGGCCAGGTCACTACCTCTGAGCAGGCCCACCAGTGGCTGAGGAAGCCTCCGGGGACGTATGCAGGTACTGGGAGAGCCAGATGTGAAGAGGACGGCGGTCCTAGCAGGGTGGTAACGGATCGTGGTCCCGTGGGGACAGCGGGGTACCAAATCGGCAGGCAAAGAGTAGTCAGGTCACACGCTGGATCAGCAGGGTAATCAGTCCCGTAGAATGGTCAGGCAAGCCAGGTGTCAGAATAGGAGAAGGCAGAGTAGTCAGGGCAATCCGGGTCAATCACAGGAGAAGGCAGCGTAGTCAGGGCAATCCGGGTAAATCACAGGAGAAGGCAGCGTAGTCAGGGCAATCCGGGTCAATCACAGGAGAAGGCAGCGTAGTCAGGGTCAATCAGGGTCACTAGAACGGGTACAGGAACTCAGGATCACAGATAGACCTTGCGGCAATCTGTGACAGTGCAGGGCATCTTTAAATAGTGCGCCCTGCACTGTCATTGGCTGGATAGGACGCGCCCCGGCTGTCATTGGATGGCGGCTCGCCGGGACCTAGTGCTTGTGTCCCGGCGTGATCTGCCGCCAGTGCGCATGCGCGGGGGAAGACGCCGCGATCCCGGATTCCGGAGCCGCGATCCCTGACATAAGGACAGATTCATTATCTCAGCAGTTTTCCTCCTCTTCCAAAATGGAGTCTGCTTCTACACCTGTGATACCTCTGGACTACATTTTGGCCACTCTTAACACTATTCTCACTTCATCTTTGGGTGAAAGAATTCTGGCTTCTCAGATCCATTCTCCTCCTGGAAAACCTCATGACTGCTGCTTTGTCCCTGAGAATCTCTGTACTGCTTTGCTCTAGACCTACCATTCTTCCAAAGCAGCAGGGCACCCAGGAAAAAAATCTACTCAAATGGCCTAAGTCTCAACAATTCTGGTGGCTTAGTCTCTGTGCTGATGTAACCACCTTTGTAGCTGCTTGTCCTGTGTGTGATCAAAATAAAACAACCCAACACATTCCAGTAGGCCTTCTACAACCCATACCCAGTGGAGAGAGGCCTTGGACCCACTTGCCTATTGATATTATTGTGGATTTACCTAACTCCCAGGGCAATGCAGTTATTCTTATAGTGGTTGACCGATTTTTGAAAATGTCATATTGTATTCCACTAAAGAAATTGCCTACATCCAGAAAACTGTCATCAATATTCGTCCGGGAGGTCTTTTGGTTACATGGGTTATCTAAAGTTACCGTCTAGGACAGGGGTAGCCAGTTTGTATCCAGGTTTTGGGGAGCCTTTTGTGCACAGTTGGGAATTCAGCTTTTCTTCTCCTCAGCATATCACACGCAGTCCAATGGGGCTGCCGAACGGGCCAACCAAGCCTTGGAACAGTTCCTATCTTGCTTTATTTCTGACCACCATAACAACTGGTTGGATCTTTTACCTTGGGTGGAGTTTGCCATCAATGAAGCCTCCCAATTATATCCATTTATCCAAACTATGGGTTCCAGCCATCCATGTTGCCTGATACATTTGTTCCACAGGGAATTTCTGCATTAGAGGAACATCTTTGGTTGTAGATCTAAGAATCCTTGAAACACTACAGAGATAGGTACAAACTCCATCCTGACCACCGACGCCTACCTGCACCCTCCTACTAAGTTGGGGAGAGGGTCTGGCTGTCTTCCTGTAACCTCCAACTCCATGTTCCCTCACTAAAACTGGTGCCTCGGTATATTGGGCCTTTCCACATACTCCGTAGGGTTAACCCAGTGGCATACGCACTAGATCTTCCTTCCAACGTGCGTATTTCTGACATATTCCATGTTTCCTTATTAAAACCTTTGGTGTGTAACCGCTATAGCACATCGGTACCACCCTCACCTGTTTCAGGTTGAAAATAATGAGGAATATGAGATACAATCTATCACTGACTCCTGTAGGCTTTGTGGACGCATACAATATCTAGTCCACTGGAGGAATTACGGTCCAAATGTCAAGGTCCTACCTTTTCCCAGAGATTGTGCAGCTTCATGTGCTGGCGTCCATCTTGGGTTTCTGAAGAGCATGGTGGGAGTCTTTTATGCCTTCAGGTCTCTGAGGTCCATCCCCCAGAGGGGTGTGGCTGAGTACATATAAGCCTGTGATCCGCACATGCTCTTTGCACTTGTGTCTTGTGTCTTTGTGTTGCTACAGCTCTGTGTATACTCTCGTGACTTCAGGTATCTGACTCGGCTTGTGACTAAACCATTCTCTGTGTTTTCCTTTGATCTGACCCTCTGTTGCTGAACTCGGCCCGTGACCTGTGATTCTTGTCTACTGTTCTGTACCATTTTGTCCCGTTGTTGTCAACCCGGCCTGCCTGACTACGCTATTGTCATTCCTACCAGCTACACGCCATTGGAGGCGGCCATTACCGCAGCCGGGGTGTCTCGGGGGCCGCGACCTGGTTCCTGGCTGCGTCAAGTCCATCCCCACCATCAGGGGCCCTGGTGAAGGGCAGCCTGGGACTTAGACTCCGCGCCCTGAGGGACTTCGGTCTGTTGGTGGTGGTTTTCGTCAGTCAGAGCGTTACCCTGCCACTAGGCCTACCTGTCCGTTCCACAGCCCTGCCCTGACACCAAAGGAATGCTCTTGAGTTTCATCTTCATACTCATACTCCTGCCATTTCTTTGCTTGCCATTTCCATTTTCCCCTCAAGCCTGGTGCCCCCTGAGGGGGAGGGGTCATTAAGGAGGGGGTACTGTCAGGGCTGGGGTCCTGCTTCTTAATGAGCAGCTTTTTTCTTTCAGTGCTCTTAAGCTGCTCAGCTGTCAGTTAATTACCAACTACTCATTGTCTCCACAGAGACTCACCTGGATACCAGTACCTGCCTCATTAGTCCAGCCTTCAGCCAGCCCTTTAAGCAGCTTAGCTCATTTCCTCCTTGTCATTGCATGGTCTATGATCTCCAGTATGTTCCTGCCTGTGTTCCTGTGTACAACTCAGTCTGACTGACTTCTCTTTTAGTTCCTGTTCCTGATTTTTGGCTCCTGGCTATGCTGACTTCTAGTTTCCTGGCCTTGGCTCATCTGATCACTCGCTCTGGCAACCAAATCTGGCTTCTGTTTTGACTACATTCCTGAACTGTGTAATCTTTGCTATTTCATTAAAGGTGTGATTTTAACTGCACTTTCTGTCTCCACTCGGTTTATGGTTCCTGACACCCACTCTATCCAACAGTAAAAAAAAAAAGTTTTGGCTATAGATACCCTTTATTCTGCATTACATCAGGTTTAATGTGGACTACATCATGCTGTAGTCAGTTATGTCCATTTTAATGGGTTCCTTCCCTCATCTAGGATTTCCTGCTAAGGTGAGCTTTTGACTTGTAAAACAAATAACTTGTAAAAAGTGCCACTATCTCAATTAGAGATAGTGGAGTTTCTCTCTTCTGTTACTTTGTTTTACAATGGTTGCTCAGCAAGGGTACCCAGAACGTGATTTTTGGATGAGAATTGCAGATGCTGCCAGCACCTTCTAGTCCTTCCAGTTTTTCCAGTTTCATGGATTCATGACACCATCTATAGACTCGATATAATGGTCATGGACTTTTAATTAATATCACCTGTCCTTTATAACTTGGCTTTTTTATATATATTGCGCAATCACTATTTATTTTGTTTACTGAGTGGGCTTTTGACTTGCAAAGGTAGAGCAGAAGCACTGAGTGTGTATGTTAAGAGATCTCCTGACAAACAGCATTTTTACCTGAATATACGTGCACGTGCTTATCTCCTATCTTTACCTGCTGGAAATTAATTTTAATGTCCTTTGCTTTTGCTTGCTTTCACAAACATTGCTTTAACTGGTGTGGAACTGAAAAGGGTTATCTCTATATCTGTGTAGATATAAATGATGGGGATGTGGCAAATTAGGTGCAAAAATAATCTAATCTGACAAAGCTGGGGCTGCATATTGGAGCTGTGAGAAACAAGGGCACAGTATGGTAAGAGTGAGCTCCTAATCTAATTTATTGCTCCCCAGTGATCCAGAGAGAAATCAATAAGGTAAAAGCAATGCCTAGACACTAATTCAATAAATCAAGTGTGCTGTTGCAAAGCGTTTAAGTGCCCAGCAAATCACATAATGTATGTGCATAATATGAATAGATTTCAGATAGAAATATACAGCTGCACTGAATACTAGCACATATTTCTGGTGTTTAAGGAGAAAAACTGAGCTTTTTTGCTGACTCTGTGACCTTGGTAAACCATATTCTACTTAATACATCAAAGCATTTAGTTCTATTATAATTGTCACTCAATATGACATGTAATTAGAGCTTGATTCATTATCAATTGGCAAACACATGTTTTGTATGCAATGTTTTTTGTGATAATTACCAGCAGAATTATAATCACTTTCAATTTAAAAGTGTATTTAAAGTGAAAACTTGAGAACTTTTCTAATTTTGAATGGGGTTGGAACGGTTAAAATACATATCTATTTGTTTGCAGTTTGTGTCCCGTTAGGGACATGTACCTTCACCGTATTGTTAGTAACATGACCCACAATGTACCCTTGTGGCTAACAGAAGTCAATGTCCAAAAAAGCCTTGAAAAACAACATAAATAAATCACCAGGACCACATGACACCCAAGAGTCCTCAAAGAACTTAGCCAAGTTATGGCCAGGCCATTATTCCTAGTTTTTCTGGACAGCTTAGTGACTGGAATGTATCAGCTGATTGATAAAAAACGCCAATGTGGGGAATAGTATTATTCTATGAGGAAGTGAGCTGTTATCTAGATAAGTGAAGGCATTTTTTATAAGGGAGGCTGACATTTGGTCAAAATGGTTCTGAGGAGAGGAGCTCCCCCTTCGAAAAGCGTCAGCCATTCTATAGGGTCTTCCTCCAATTGGGACTCGCACATGACTCTGGTCTGATTGTCCAGTATTGGATAACACATGCTTATGAAATGGTGACGTTTGTGAGTATACATCTGTTTTATCCTTCAATAAAATTCTTGTCGCTGAGGTAATGCGCAAGGCTGGTGCGCTGTTTTTTGTTCTTTATTACAGAAAACTTTTCAGTCTCAGGTCAGTTAAGAGGACACATTGGCACTCAATGTTAATCTCAAAAACTCAAAGTCAAAAGAGAAGAGAACCCCTTACGCAGACTACGGTTTAACCGTAGTCTGCGTAAGGGGTTCTTTACTGGCAGAGGGGTAAGGATGTGGAACTCTCTTCTACAGTTGATGGTGTTATCAGGCAATGTCAATTAAAAAAACCTCTTAGATGGGCATCTTAGTGTATGCAATATGCAGAGATGTGGGAAATTGTATTGACATAAAAACACACACCCACACAGGTTAAACTGGATGGACTTGTGTCTTTATTCAACCTTACTAATTATGTAACTATGTAATGCTATCCAAAGTTAAAAAAACTAAAGGCTTCAAATACATTTTAAAGTAAACTTGTCATCTTTACTAACTTTTTTAAACTAAAGTTCTACCCCAGGAAAAAGCACCACAGAAAAGTCCTTTATGTGCCTGGAAGATCCCACTCTATTACTAGGGTCCACCATTTCCATGAATGTGACCATATACCTGGAGAGCACTGTTTTTGGATACTGAAGTGCTGGGTGACATATCTTATTAATAAGCAGGATGTCAATATTGTGACACAGAACAGGATTTGTGGGCCTTATGTTCCTATTTTTCTATTTCCTTGTAATATATCATTGGCCACAATTGCCCAGGAGATTTTGTTATCCATCTGTTATAATTAGCAAGTGGTATATTCCGTCTTTCTCTTTCCAACAGAAATCCTCTTCTGGTCCAAAAAATACAGCCTAAGGTACGAGTAGGGCTACAATTGTGTTTTTTTGCCTCCAAGAGACCCGTATTAATGCTTAAAGAAGAACTCTGGCAGAGGCAAAAAATCACCCATTGGTACACCCCCCCACACACAAAACACCAAACAGTTAATACAGTTTTGAAAAACCGTACCATTTAGGAGGACAGTCTAATTGAATTTTCATGACCTCATCTCTGTAATTCAAAAGATAAAAGTATCTGTTCTGCCAAGGAAGAGGTGTAACAGCAGGGATTATATCATATCCTCTTCTTTCTCTCTGCAGTAAAAGGAAACTACAGTTCCCATCAACCACAGGGAGTTGTAGTAAATGTGGGCAGGTACACAAGGTCTGTACATGTTGAATGTGTCTGAGAGTCTCCCACCACTGCAAGTAGGACTGAATTACATCACTGCTTCCTGGAGAACTACAGAAGGGATGTGCTAAGACCAGTGGCTGGAGGAATAGGAGGCATAGCAACCACTGGTCTTACAAACAGGAAACTAAAGAGAATTAACTTTGATTTGAAAATAAATAGGCTATTTCAGAGTAACTACTGAGTAAACCAGAAAATAGATGACATATTCATTGAAGGTAGGAAATCAGAAACAAGGACATGTAAAGACGTTTTTGCAGTGTTCTGCTTAAAGATCAAAAAAGAAGATTGGCGGATATATAAATAAACCTATTCCTACTGTTTACTAACCATTTTAGAACAGAATTCCAAGATAAGGTTGCCCTTGTTAGAAGAATGTCTAAAGTGGACTTTGCAGTATAATGTCTGCGTATTAGAGTCAGACCCCCTTTCCTTATAAGAATTGCTGCATGATAAAAAAAAATATACTTGTAAGGAAAAAAGTTGGATTTTTTACATAATCCCTGTCTTCTGCATTGCAAGGCATGACATCCCCAAATCTTGTGAGAAGACACTCTAGTCCATTGCAAGAGCACTTTCTTATGAGATTTGGAGCTCTCATCAGTTGCAGGATCTTGCTGTCACCCTCACCTAGATGCTGATGGTTGAAGATGGAGGCAGGTTAAGTGTGTAGGTACCCCCTTGCTACTTCACATTGCTGACCCTACCAGTTAGGCCCTACAATAAATGAGTCACCCTGCAAGTAAGCTGTGAACTACTTCCCAGTCCTGATGCTCAAGACAGACCTCATGTCTGCCACACACATGCACGATGGCGGGTCCTAGACCCTCTTCAATCCAGTCTCTGATCTACATCCCTGTTAACTCCCCACATGCCTGAAGCACACTATCAAATGATTACAGGTCAGGGATCTGTAGATCTAGCTGAACGCTGAAGGCCCATGAGACATGGGGCCCAAGCCACCTGGCACATGATGCATTGATGGGGAATTTTTCTCACCCCACCCGGAGGACAAACACTTCTCCTTACCATCACCAGCTCCAAGTTTTCACTTTACATAGTAAAGTATTTCTTCAGCTCTGCACTCTATTCCTTCAGCTGTGCCGCTGTTTGGATCCTTTTAAATATATTACTTGGCTTCTCTTTCATAAATAGACAATAATCAGGCATTGTGGTGGCTGTTCATAAACTTTACTAAACTTCTCCTCCCAACCTTATAAAGGAACTGGGCCCAGGGCTACCACATAGCACATGCCATAAGGGACAGTGATAACATTAAAAAAGGTACCCCTGCATACAAATATATCTGGCCCATGTCTATAAATGGCCAGACAGGAGCACTGCCAAAGCGGGTTGACGTTTCTAAACATCACCCGCATTCACTGCCTGTGCACGCTCCCTGGGAGCGCGCAGCACCATGATCCGGTGCCCGCTGTGACTGATCGCTGTATGGGACCTCTGTGTGAGGTCCCGATTCATGTGATCACTGATTGGCCAATCAGTGATCACACGAGCAGTAGCAAACAAGATGTCACTTCCTGAAATCATTGCTTACTACTTGTGAAATCACATGGTACAAGGCTATTCACAAGAGCCTTGTACCATGTGACAAGCTGTGACCAATAACAGCTCGCACAGTATTTCTTAATGGCTGCAGGAATGCAGCCAGAGAGAAATATAAATTATTGCTTTTACGGCTTTTATGGGTGTAAAAGAAATCAGTGTTTAAAAAAAGAAAAAAAATTCTTCATCATCACCCCCCACAAGTAGCTCAGTGTCACTATGATGACACTGTACTGCTAGGGTGACAGTATGTTAAAAAAAAAAAAAAACCCCATAAATAATAATATAAAAAAAAAATAATGTAAAAAATAAATTGTGAAAAATTATAATTTTTGGTTATAAACTAATTTGGGTTATTTGTTTTTTTACTAAAAAGATAGCTGAAAACATTTTGGCCAAGATTTATGAAGAAAGATTATTTATTTGCTAAATTTTATAAGAAAAACACTTTTTTTAAAATAAATTTCGGACTTTTTCATTTATATAGCAAAAAAATAAAAATCCCAGTGGTGAATAAATACCACCAAAATAAAGTATTATCTGTCTCAAAAAAATGCTAAAAAATTCATATGGGATACAGTGTTGCATGACCGCGCAATTGTCATTCATTGTGTGATAGCACTGAAAGCTGAAAATTGGCCTGGGCAGGAAGGGGGTGAAAGTGTCCGTCTTGAAGTACTTTAAGTACTATCATGCAGCAATTTTGCAGTGGGTCTGATCTAATAATTGGGCCTTGCATTATACTGCAAGGTCTGCTTTAATATAGAATTGGGCTGTCAAAAGGTTTTGTCTGAGGGAGTGTGCTATGTACAGTGAGGAACAGAAGTATTTGAACACCCTGCAATTTTGCAAGTTCTCCCACTTAGAAATCATGGAGGGGTCTGAAATTCACATTGAAGGTGCATTCCCACTCTGAGAGACGGAATTTAAAACAAAATTCAGGAAATCACATTGTATGATTTTTAAAGAATTTATTTGTCTTGCACTGCTGAACATAAGTATTTGAACACCTAAGAAACAGCAAGAATTCTGGCTCTCAAAGACCTGTTACTGCGCCTTTAAAAAGTCCACCTCTACTCCACTCATTAATCTAACTTAGTAGCACCTGTCTGAGCTCTTTAAAGACACCTGTCCACCCACAGTCAGTCAGACGCCAACTACTACCATGGGCAAGATCAAAGAGCTGTCAAAAGACACCAGAGACAAAATTGTGGACCTCCACAAGGCTGGAAAGGGCTATGGGGCAATTGCCAAGCAGCTTGGTGAAAACAGATCAACTGTTGGAGCAATTGTTAGAAAATGGAAGAGGCTAAAGACGACTGTCAGTCTCCCTCAGACTGGGGCTCCATGCAAGATCTCACCTCGTGGGGTATCACTGATGATAAGAAAGGTGAGGAATCAGCCCAGAACTACAAGGGAGGAGCTGGTCAATGACATGAAGAGAGCTGGGACCACAGTTTCAAAGGTCACTGTCGGTAGAACACTACGCCGTCATGGTTTCAAATCATGCATTGCACGGAAGGTTCCCCTGCTCAAGTCATCACATGTCCAGGCCTGTCTGAAGTTTGCCAATGACCATCTGGATGATCCAGAGGAGGCATGGAAGAAAGTCATGTGGTCAGATGAGACCAAAGTAGAACATTTTGATCTAAATTTCACTCGTCGTGTTTGGAGGAAAAAGAAGGATGAGTTGCATCCCAAGAACACCATCGCTACTGTGAAGCATGGGGGTGGTAACATTATGCTTTGGGGGTGCTTTTCTGCGAAGGGGACAGGACGACTGCATTGTATTAAGGAGAGGATGAATGGGGCCATTTATTGTGAGATTTTGAGCAACAACCTCCTTCCCTCAGTCAGAGCATTGAAGATGGGTCGTGGCTGGGTCTTCCAACATGACATCGACCCGAAGCACACAGCCAGGATAACCAAGAAGTGGTTCCGTAAGAAGCATATCAAGGTTCTGGAGTGTCCTAGCCAGTCTTCAGACCTAAATCCAATAGAACATCTTTGAGGGAGCTGAAACTCCGTGTTGCTCAGCGACAGCCCCGAAACCTGACAGATCTAGAGGAGATCTGTGTGGAGGAGTGGGCCAAAATCCCTGTTGCAGTGTGTGCAAACCTGGTCAAGAACTACAGGAAACGTTTAACCTCTGTAATTGCAAACAAAGACTTCTGTACCAAATATTAACACTGATTTTTCTCAGGTGTTCAAATACTTATGTTCAGCAGTGCAAGACAAATACATTCTTTAAAAATCATACAATGTGATTTCCTGAATTTTATTTTTAATTCTGTCTCTCAGAGTGGGAATGCACCTACAATGTGAATTTCAGACCCCTCCATGATTTCTAAGTGGGAGAACTTGCAAAATAGCAGGGTGTTCAAATACTTCTGTTCATCACTGTAAGTAAAAGTTCAGTCAATATTATTCTTGCTGCTAAAACTCAATATTACAATAAACATCTGTTGATTTTGCCAGAAAGATTGTGGGATGATAACTTCCTTTTCTCTCTGCATATGCACAAGAAGGGGTTATGGAGGGAGGATGAGATAAGTAGAGGTCAGGGGCGGACTGACCATTCAAGCACTCGGGCACTGCCCGAGAGCTCGGGGTCAGTAGGGGCCCCATGAGATTCCGCTGGTACCTTTCATAGGCTTTTGTAACTTGTACATCCTATATACTGCAAATTTCAACTAGTGCATGGCACAATGTGACAAGATAGATCACATTTCTCACATTACAGTTAGCAGTGGCATCCCGAGGCAGGTGCGGGGGGTCTGCGCCGCACCTGCTGATTGGATCCGTCCTGCGGGGATCGTCGGCTTTTTTTACAACTTACCTTTTCGTGGAGCGGGTCCGGTGTCACCCCGTATAGGTTGCATGCCGACGATCCTCGCAGGATGGATCGGATCTGCGAATTGGGGGGCATAATGGATCGGACTCCGATCCATTATGCTCAATCTGCAGATCTGAACTATCCTGCGTGGATCGTCGGAGGGGGTGTCACCAACTGTTATAGCACCGGGTGACACCAACCCTAGGGATGCCCCTGAGAGTTAGCATAGTACTTCATATTAAAATGCTTTCAGTTGACACTAAAACTAAACTACTTTCTGATATTATGATAGGAACAGCTATGAAATATGTAATGCCCACATCTATAAGAAAGTGTGGTTGAAAGCATGTCATTTTTGAGCATAAATTCTGAATATTAATAAAGAACACTATTGAACCTAGGGTGGCGGATCTTTTCCTTATATGGCACATTCCTTTTGAAAAACAATCCTTTCAAAAGTTTATTCAACAAATCAAAAAGTAGCAAATAAGAGAAGTTTATTGATAGGGTTTATAAGCAATTTAAAGCATCTTCAGTATCTGTTTATTGCAGTGACCCTTTCATTATTGTTGATAATTTGCTCATGTATCCTCAGGGGTGTCGGGGTCTCATTGCTTCACTTAATACAATACAAGCATTGATCAAGTTATTATTAGGTAGCCCCTTCAAGTCAGCAGATTCTACACTGTGTATATGCAGCTTTTAGACTACACAGCAGGTAGTGCCTTGCTTTTTTTAAGTGGGATTTAAGACAAAAGTCAGAGTTTTCCAAATACTGCTTGGACACAATTAAAGAATAATTTGTGTTTTAGGGTGGTTATTTAGTAGACATAGCTTGGCTCACAAGACATATATGTATTTGCTTGTGGAAAGAATAATTTCCCCCTTTTTACAAAAAATAATAAATGCTAATTTTTTTGTAGGTAAACAATTGTGCATTTATTTTTTTTTTTTTTCTGGAGCCTCTAAAGCATTGCACCAGAGATCAGCAGAGCCCTGCATGGACTTGTTTTTTTTAATTGTGACAGCTAGTGGGGAGGAGAAAATCCTCACTAGCTGTCACAACGGGGAGAGGGGAAGATCGGAGGCTGGTCCATTCGTAACATGTTACAAGTTACACCCTGAATATGGGTGTAACATGTTATGAAAGGTGAACTTATCCTTTAACACTTCTAGATGTCCTTATAAGATAGCAAATATTCACTTTTTAAGCTCAGAACTACTTTAGGTTCTTCTAATGTATATACTACAGGTGAAACTCAAAAAATTAGAATATCGTGCAAAAGTTCATTTATTTCAGTAATGCAACTTAAAAGGTGAAACTAATATATGAGATAGACTCATTACATGCAAAGCAAGATAGTTCAAGCCGTGATTTGTCATAATTGTGATGATTATGGCTTACAGCTCATGAAAACCCCAAATCCACAATCTCAGAAAATTAGAATATTCCATGCAATCAATAAAACAAGGATTGTACATAGAACAATATCGGACCTCTGAAAAAAAATAAGCATGCATATGTACTCAGTACTTGGTTTGGGCTCCTTTTGCAGCAATTACTGCCTCAGTGTGGCGTGGCATGGAAGCTATCAGCCTGTGGCACTGCTGAGGTGTTATGGAAGACCAGGATGCTTCAATAGCGGCCTTCAGCTCATCTGCATTGTTCGGGCTCATGTCTCTCATCTTTCTCTATGCAAAGCCCCATAGATTCTCTATGGGGTTCAGGTCAGGTGAGTTCGCTGGCCAATCAAGCACAGTAATCCCACGGTCATTGAACCAGGTTTTGGTGCTTTTGGCAGTGTGGGCAGGTGCCAAGTCCTGCTGGAAAATGAAGTCGGCATCCCCATAAAGCTCGTCTGTGGGAAGGAAGCATGAAGTGCTCCAAAATATCCTGGTAGACGGCTGTGTTGACCCTGGACCTAATGAAACACAGTGGACCAACACCAGCAGATGACATGGCTCCCCAAATCAACACAGACTGTGGAAACTTCACACTGGACTTCAAGCATCTTACATTGTGTGCCTCTCCATTCTTCCTCCATACTCTGGGTCCTTGGTTTACAAATGAGATGCAGGTCTGTTTTTCTTTAGCCCAGGTAAGACGCTTCTGACGTTGTTTGTTGTTCAGGAGCGGCTTGACAAAAGGAATATGACATTTGAAGCCCATATCCAGGATCCGTCTGTGTGTGGTGGCTCTTGATACACTGACTCCAGCCTCAGTCCACTCCTTGTGAAAGTCCCCAACACTTTTGAATGGCCTTTTCCTGACAATCCTCTCCAGGCTGCAGTCATCCCTGCTGCTTGTGCACCTTTTTCTTCCACACTTTTCCCTTCCACATAACTTTCTATTAATGTGCTTTGATACAGCACTTTGGGAACATCCAACTTCTTTTGCAATTACCTTTTGAGGCTTTCCCTCCTTATGGAGGGTGTCAATGATGGTTTTCTGCACAACTGTCAGGTCAGAAGTCTTTCCCATGATTGTGATTCCTACTGAACCAGACTGAGAGACTATTTAAAGGCTCAGGAACCCTTTGCAGGTGTTATGGCTTAATTAGCTGATTAGAGTGGGATACTTTGAATATTGCCTAGTGCCTAGAATATTGCACCTTTTCACAATATTCTAATTTTCTGAGATTGTGGATTTGGGGTTTTCATGAGCTGTAAGCCATAATCATCAAAATTATGACAAATCACAGCTTAAACTGTCTTGCTTTGCATGCAATGAGTCTCTCATATATTAGTTTCACCTTTTAAGTTGCATTACTGAAATAAATTAACTTTTGAATGATATTCTAATTTTCTGAGTTTCACCTGTAGGTCCAAGAGAATTGTATTTTCTGTGTTAACAAAATTTTAAGTTTCAGTTCAGTTAAAGCAATGGCAAGGGAAAGTTGTAAACCTTTAGGCCAGCTCCAAAACTCTCTTATCCTTGATTAATCTTACTGAACGCCATTTAAAGCAAAAGGTACTGTATATATAAATGGACACATAATGTCATCACAGTAATCAGCTCACTGTAAGCTGTGTCTTCCTGAAGACATAAACCCAGTTTACTAATTTGATGTCTACAGCTTTATGTACAATTAACCTGAAATCCATTTAAGGGCATCTGTTTCCATCTGGATACCTCTAGGTACTGTAAAAAACAAAGACATAATTAGCCAGAGTCTGACCTTATTATACAACTGGAAGCTAACTAGCAATTGTATTTCCTTGAAGGAGTGCTACAGTTGCTAGTAAACACATTAAATTAGATTATGTGTTTTAGGGGGGTGTGTGTTTTTTAGCTAAAAGGGGCAGAAACTGTGGTACTGACAGTTGTAACTCATTTTCAAGATTGATGTAATTGTGTATAATATTTTTTGCTAGGGGATCAAATTTTCAGGGAACAAGATTTATTTTCTCTAAACAATCCATCCAAAACAATTTGCAAAATAGCTTATTATGAGATTTGGTTGGAGGTTATTATTATTTTTGTATTATTATTATTATACAGGGTTTATGCAGCGCCAACAGTTTGTGCAACACTTTACAATGTTAGGGCAAACAGTACAGCTACAATACAGTTGAATACAGGAGGAATCAGAGTGCCATGCTCATTAGAGCTTACAATCTACAAGAGGAGGGTCAAGTGATACAAAAGGTAATAACTGGGGGGGATGAGCAGATGGAGAAAATACATATACAGTTGTTAGGTGGAGGCAGGATAGGCTTCTCTGAAGAGAAAAGTTTTCAGGGATTGCCTAAAAATGGACAGAGTAGGAGATAGTCGGACAGACTGGTGTAGGGAATTCCATAGGATGGGAGAGGCTTGGGAGAAGTCCTATAGGTGAGCATGGGAGTAGATGACAAGGCTACTAGAGAGCAGGAGGTCTTAGGAGGAACGGAGAGTGAAATTTGGTTGGTATTTTGAAACTAGGTTAGTGATGTAGCTGGGAGCCAAGTTGTGGATGACTTTGTAAGTTGTTGTTAGTATTTTGAATTTAATTCATTGGGTGACTGGCAGCATTTTTTAGATTGTTGGGAAAGGTGCCAGAAGAAAGGGAGAGATTGAAGATGTGAGTTAGAGTGTAAGATAGAGTCAAAGAGTGACCACAGTATTTGAGAGGGAATAGGGTCCGGGGGACAGGTGGTTAGGTCAGCATTAGAAAGAAGTTTAGCAACCTCGTCTGTAGTAGCAGGGTTAAATAAGGGTAATGTTGTGTGTACCTGTGAACATGGGGTGTTACGTGGGTTGAGTTATCTGTAGAGTGGACATTTCATTACAAATTGCATCAATCTTATTTTTGAAGTGATTGGCAATCTCCTGGGCAGTGAGTGAGTTAATGGGTGGGGGCAGTGGAAGATGAAGAAGAGAGTTAAAGGTAGAGAAGAGTTGACGCGGATTGGATGAGAAAGTGTTAACGCGAGTGATAAAATAGGTCTGCTTGGCAGTGTTGAGGCAAGAGTTGTATTTTTGGAGGGCAGTTTTATATTGGTTGAAGACTTTGTGGGACCTAGTCTTATGCCACAGATGCTCAAGAGCGTGGCTACGTTTTTTGAGATTTGTGGTATTGTCTGTTTGCCAGGGTTGTGGGGGTTTCGGGCCTGATTCTGTGTGAAGTGAGAGGTGCAAGCTCTTTTAGGGTGGAGGACAGGGATCTATTGTAGATAGAAGTGGCTAGATTGGGGCAAAACAGGAGTGAGATATTAGCATAGAGGTGGATAGTAGCACAGTGGAGGAGAGAAAGGTTAAAGTTGCGAAGGTATCTACGGTTAATTGTTTGGCAGTTGGAGGTAGAGGTGGTGGAAAACGGAGAAAGTGAAACTAATAAGGTGGTAATCATAGAGACAAAAAAAGATTGTTGAAGAGATTGGATGGAGTGCATAGGAAGGAGAATACAAGGTCAAGTGTGTTGCTTTCAGAGTGAGTAGAAGCATGTACCCATTGCTTCAGGTCAAATGAGGAGGTTAGACTAAGAAGTTTAGAAGTAGCAGGAGTATTAGTATTAACAGAGATGTTGAAGTCACGAGGATGATTATGGGAATTTCAGAAGAGAGAAAGTAGGGCAGCCAGGCAGAGAAGTCATCATGGACAATTGATAATGGTCCAGGGGGCTGGTTGATGTCAGTAATTCTTAAAGAAATTGAGAAAATAGACGTGCACAGTGAGCTTTGAACAATGAGAGGGACAGAGAGGGAGGAGAGTGAAGAACCTGAAAGGTGCTCTATGGGGATAGGAGGATTCCCATTCCACCTCCCTTGTGTCCACTGATTCTGGGGGAGTGAGTCAAGAGAAGACCACCTTGGGAGAGGGAAGCAGGAGAAGCAGTGTCAGATTTATGAAGCCAGGTTTCGGTGACAGCAATTAAATGAAAGGAGTTAGTGACAAAGAGGTCGTGAACAGATGTGAGTTTGTTGCAGACAAAGAGATCATTCCAGAGCACTCAGGAGAAGGGTGGACTGGTTTTGGGAAGAAGAGAAATGGAGACTAAATTTTGTGGATTGCAGCTGCTGCCAGACGTCACAGGGTGATGGGTGCGTTGGTTGCAGTTAAATAAAGGAGGCCAGGGTTTGGGGATATGTCTCCAGAGGTTAAGAGAAGCAGAAGTGTGAGAGAGTTAATATAAGAGTGACATTTATATGAGGGGACATGGGGGCTTTATTAGCATGTGGGATTAGAATTAGGAGGAGATGATAAATGCAGTGATAAGGGGAGGACAGAAGTGAGGGTGATATATACAGATTGTGGAGTGGAGAAGAGGGGTGAAGGAAACAGACTTTGAGGAGAGTTTCAGGGAGGTTACCTTTCGCATTTGAATGATAGGAAATACACTCGGTTGCCTTTCCATTAAGGATTTCTACTTATGATTCACTGCTTTGCAAAACATTGTTAACGAGGCTGAAACTCAGTACATAAACCATTTAGATTTAGTCAAGTTCAGTTGTTGTTTGACCAGACATTAGAACGGGGAAGATCGAGGTAAATTTGACCATGGAATAATTGTTTGTGCCAGGTGAAAGGAAGTCTACAAATAAAAGGAAAAGAACAAATGGGAAAATAAGTCTACACTATGCTACACAATGCATTGAATCACTGTTAAGACTGGAAAGCAGCAAAAGAATTCAGTGATAACAAGGTTTAGTGCAAGCTGATAGGAGGAGAGAGCAGAGCAGGGGCGGACTGACAACTCCTGGGGCCCCCGGGCAATAGGGGATCATGGGGCCCCTGTGTCCTTGCCCAAACTCAAAAAAGCCTATGAAAAAGGTACCAGGGGCATCTCATGGGGCCCCTTACTGACCCGGGCCCTTGGGCAGTGCCCAAGTTTCCAAATGGTCAGTCCACCCTTGGAGCAGAGTGATAGACAGATGAGCTTAACAGCCTTCTGCCTCTCTTTTCACAGTCACAGGTGGGGGTAGGGAATCTTTGTAAATCTGTGCTTAAATTGGAACTTTACCCATAATAACTTGATAAAATATAATGTTCTTTAGCAGGGAACCACATCACAGAAATTCCACATTAACCATTTGCCCTCCAGAGGATTTACCCCCCCTTCCTGACCAGGCCATTTTTTGCCATAAGGCACTGTGTTACTTTATGTTGTTATGACAATTACATGGTCATGCAACGCTGCACCCAAATGAAATTAATGTCCTTTTTTTCCCACAAATGGAGCTTTCTTTTGGAGGTATTTGATTGCCTCTGAGTTTTTAGTTTTATGCTCTATAAACAAAAAAAGAAAGACAATTTTGAAAAAAAAAAAACCTATATTTTTTAGGTTTAGCTATAAAACATATCCAGTAAAAAAAATAAAAAATCAAATTGCATTATAAATTTAGGCCAAAATGTATTCTGCTTCATGTCTTTGCTAAAAAAAATCCCAGTACGTGGAAATTAATTGGTTTATGTGAAAGTTATAGCGTCTAAAAATGCAGTATATATACTGGAATTTTTTTTTTTAATTTCATACTAGTTATGGCAGTGATCAGTGACTTATAGCGGGACTGCGGCAGGCATTCAGACACTGGGGGGGAACAGACTAACTGCCACTGACATCCCCAGTGACACTAATACCGTGAACAGTGCTAATAAAAAGCACTGACACTGTACTATTGACACTGGGCAGGAAGGGGTTAACATCTGGGGCGATCAAAGGGTTAACTGTGTGCTGTTTTACTGTGTGTGCTTTACTATGTAAGCATACTGCGTTGTATTGTTCTGCTATACAGAGCAATACAAAGCAGCATGCTGGTGCTGACAGGGGAGAGATCTGTGTTGTTTACATATAGACCTCTCCCCTGTCAGTGCTCCTTGGCAATCACCAGGTGCTGGCGGGGAATTTCCACCCGGGACCCGGTGGTCGACAGCTGTAGCTGCCAATGGCAGTGCAGTGCGCGTGCATGCCCCCTACCTGGAAATGCAAAATCACATATACACATATATATATATATATATATACACATATATATATATATATATATATATATATATATATATATATATATATATATGTGTGGCTCTGATTTTTGGCACAGCTTAAAAATAGAGAGCAACTGAGCATGTGCAGAGCAGGGTGAGACAGTTTATTATTGGATTTTGAAGAGTATAGCACTTACTTTAATGTTTTACATAGCTATACCTGTAAACTGGGCCAGCCTGAAGTGATCTAGCAGGACTTCATTTTCTGACTAAAGTTTCACTTTAACCTCCCTGGCAGTATTCCCGAGTGTAGCTCGGGGTAAAGTTTCAGTACCACAAGCGGTAACCCCGAGCTTACCATGCGGCGCTGCTCCGGGATCCCTCGATCACTTACCTTGTCCTACGCTTCCACGATGTCCCTCCTGCAGTGTCCCCGGAAATGTAATCTGGTGGATGCCGGCATCTTCATCTGGGTTCCATCCCCTGCGAGCAGGACGTACAGGGGACGGAACGGCGGGAAATTTGAAAATGACAAAAAGTGACATTCACTAAAATCACTAAAATCACATAGTATAACATTACTGTATCAAACCATTTCACATACATTTTGTCCCGAGTGCTTTGTCCTGTGCCCTGCCTGCATTTTTACTGTTTTTATTGCCTGGAAACTGAGAAACGTCCATGGTGTCCAAAAAGCATCCCTTTAGGTCAAAACTGATTTTAGACCAGCTAGAGAACAGCGATAGTAAATCATAACCACTTGCAGAATTGAGTGATAATGATTCGTGGGGAAATTCGTCATCAGATACTGAAAACAATTTTGCGACTTTGCTCAGTGATGTGCGAACTTGGCGCTATATTTCAAATTTCAGTGTTTTTGGTTTGATTATATTATTAAATTAAGTGTATTATTATTATATTATAATTTTTTATGATTATTTATTAAATTATAATTTATGATTTCGTTTCATGTTCAAGTTTTATCCTACCTGGGATGTTTACTAGACTCTTGTTCAGACAGATTTCAGTGAGTTATTCCTAAGAATTTCAGGTCTACAATATAAAACGCCAAATTTCCATGCAAAATAATGGTACCACTTTCAGCACCAAAAATCTGAAATAATCATACCGTCAGGGAGGTTAAAGAAGAACTAAACCCATTGATTTAACAGCATGCCAGGACGGCTAACTGTCACTTTTGCTTGTCCTGTCCACCAAACTGTCAAACCATTAAATGGCTGGAGTCATAACTGATCACATATGCAGCGCCATGGCAGTTTCATATCAAACATAGGCTAGGATGGCAGCTTCCTTGGCTGAAAAAGGATATGGTTTAGTCCTGCTTTAGCTGCAGCAGTCAAAATTCCCCTACCCTGCCAGACAGGAATGTGTTGTGAAGCAGAGCTGTGTTATTCTCAAAACTAGATGGACAGAAATACAAATCATTTGGCAGGTAAAATAGCTGCTTGGTGTGGGTTTAATCTGTGTATTTTGCTGTTTGCCCGGAATTTATGCTTTAAATCCAAGCACAGTGTTTTAGATCCAACAATATTTTTAGCACAATTTAGTGAAATGCAGCCCTTTCACATTAAATAACATTCTCTATGTATGTAGCTAATGCAAGTGCTACATAATATAACGTTGTGTCAGTAAAGTGAAACTACACAGATGTACTTTACAGTTTCCCATAATTACCAAATCAAAGGGAAATTTTTCAGATAATGGCCACCAAGTCCTTAGTTACGGAAACTGTTACCTTGCAGTGTTGGCTGAACAGTTGCCAGTTTACTGACCCCTTAAGTATATTAGTCAGGGATTTGATGTCTGCTTATTTATACAGTGATAAATTGCTTTACCTGCCAGACATATTCGGGGACTTGCATTAAATTAGGAGCTTACTGTTTTTCTCTTCTTTCCACATTAGGCTAATAGAAAATAGCATGACTGCCGAAGGTCATTTATTTCAGGTTCCAATGAATTTCATTTAGTCTTCCTCCTTGCTGGTATGGGTGTGAGAAACTGTATCTGCCACTCTTTGTATTTCCCTAGAAGGGACCACATCCATTAGTGATCAGAATATGGCTCTTCTCTAATCACATTACAGCAGTAGACAGTACGAGGAATGCACCAGTTGATAAAGAAAATTCAGTCCAGTAAATTGTCTCTTTCTTCTGGAAAGACATAAATCACTCAGCCCTAGCATTATTTCACAGTCCAACTGGTGTATGTTCCATGTACATCAGAAAGTTAATATTAGCCCGACGAAGAATAACAAGGGTATATAATTTTCTGTCTAGTGAAGCGTGCTGTGGTTTGATATATGGTACCATTTCAGGCGGCCGTATGAAGGTAGAAATCTCTGTGATTTTAGCTGCAGCTTCAATCCTGCCAAACCTAGAGGAGGACCAGGATTGTGGTTAAAGTTATTTATTAATAGCATTTATTTCATGGTCTTGCATTGTATTTTTGCATGTGTACACGTGCTTTAAAGTGGAAGTCTGAACGTTCTGTTCACTTTGCAAGGTAATCATACCCAGAGCTTAGTGAATGTGGTGAAATTTCACTTTGCAAAGAGTACCGAATCATGTACAAGGAAAACAAACAAACAAACAAGAAAATGCAGTATTTTTGCTTGCCCTGGATTAGGAGATGGAAGCTAGCAGAGATTCACCTAATTCTCTATGCTCTGGGGACAATAACCATGCAAAGTACAACTTTCATTGCAAAGTGAACAGTCTGTTAGATTGTATTTAAACACAGCAACAAATCACCATATAATGACCCAGAAAAGTTATCCACCTCCACCCTTGAAGGCTAATTAAACAAAATAATAAAACTTTTCCCTAAAACAAATAAATAACAATAAAATAAACAAAAAGATAAAATAAAACCCACATAAAAACATAAAACCATAAAAAATGTCCCAAATATCCAAAATTCAAAAAATACAAAAATAATAAATAATCCAAAGAAATGATAATCCAAAAAAATAATAATCCAAAAAAATAATCCAAAAAAATAATCCCCACAGGTGTAAATAGTAATTTTCTTTCTTCTTTCATCAAACACTCCTTCTCAATATCCGCAAATCCTGATGACAGTACACCTCAAAAAGAAAAAAACTTGACATAGTGTCATACCTTTTACATAATGCAACACACGTGCCACGCAGCATGCAAAAAACCTTTATAAATGTGTATACTCTATAGACGAGTATCTATACACATACAAATATTCTTATAGTGAATATAGATATAAGTGAAACATACTCATATAAAAAAGTGTCAAAAACACCATGTGTAAAAACAACTCCCAATTAACACTGCAAGTGTGTATCTCAGTGATCCCCTGAAACCAAAACAACACTCTCCAACTCATATGCTGATGGGTAATTACCCTATATCAAAAACAACAGGGAAGGACACCACTCTGGGTTAATTTCTCCTCCAACCGATTATATCCAAATGCTAGGGTTTTTCTTCCATTCTCAAGAAAATCCACAGTCACAGATAGTCTATAACATATCCTCCTTTATTAGTAACTCACATAAAATCTGGGTGAAAACAGCTCCTCCTCACAGGGATACAACTGTGGACATATTCAGGAAAACATTGGCCACATGTTCCCACTTCCAAGATGGGCCACGATCGCACTTCCGGTCAACGTCGATACGTCTGACGTCACGTGTCACTGACGCGTTTCGTCACTTCCTATGACTTTTTCAGAAGCGTCTGAAAAAGACCCTTCTGAAAAAGTCATAGGAAGTGACGAAACGCGTCAGTGACACGTGACGTCAGACGTATCGACGTTGACCAGAAGTGCGATCGCGGCCATCTTGGAAGTGGGAACATGTGGCCAATGTTTCCCTGAATATGTCCACACTTGTATCCCTGTGAGGAGGAGCTGTTTTCACCCAGATTTTATGTGAGTTACTAATAAAGGAGGATATGTTATAGACTATCTGTGGACTGTGGATTTTCTTGAGAATGGAAGAAAAACCCTAGCATTTGGATATAATCGGTTGGAGGAGAAATTAACCCAGAGTGGTGTCCTGCCCTGTTGTTTTTGATATAGGGTAATTACCCATCAGCATATGAGTTGGAGAGTGTTGTTTTGGTTTCAGGGGATCACTGAGATACACACTTGCAGTGTTAATTGGGAGTTGTTTTTACACATGGTGTTTTTGACACTTTTTTATATGAGTATGTTTCACTTATATCTATATTCACTATAAGAATATTTGTATGTGTATAGATACTCGTCTATAGAGTATACACATTTATAAAGGTTTTTTGCATGCTGCGTGGCACGTGTGTTGCATTATGTAAAAGGTATGACACTATGTCAAGTTTTTTTCTTTTTGAGGTGTACTGTCATCAGGATTTGCGGATATTGAGAAGGAGTGTTTGATGAAAGAAGAAAGAAAATTACTATTTACACCTGTGGGGATTTTTTTTTTGGATTATTTTTTTGGATTATTATTTTTTTGGATTATCATTTCTTTGGATTATTTATTATTTTTGTATTTTTTGAATTTTGGATATTTGGGACATTTTTTTATGTTTTTATGCGGGTTTTATTTTATCTTTTTGTTTATTTTATTGTTATTTATTTGTTTTAGGGAAAAGTTTTATTATTTAGTCTGTTAGATTGATTTACTTAAACTGGAGAATGCAAAATCTGGTGCAGTTGTGCATGGTAGCCCATCAGCTTTTATCTTCAGCTTGTTCAATTAAGCTTTGAAAAAAAAAAAACTGGAAGCTGATTGGTTTCTATGCACAGCTGCACCAGATTTTGCACTCCACATCAACCCTGTTGCATTTTTAGTATATCAGCATCCTTAGTTTAAACCAAATCCAAATACAAGCTGTACCTTCACAGCTGAAATATGTAAGTGTGAACTGCCTTCCTCTGTAAGTGCTATTTTTTAAAATATTGAC